CGTGCGGATCAAACATACATCCTCTAATTCCAACCTCGGACCGACACAAACATTCTGTGGTGTCTGAACTACATTTGTCCCATTTTAGCCCCAGTTAAAGACCAAACCTAGCCACCCTTCAGCCCTAGTGCCACACTGAGTCTGGCCTAACTTTAGCCCTGGGGTGGGTTCCAATATTAATACTAACATACTCTATCGTGTGCACACAGTATGAAATAGAACTGAATTTTTAAGGGGAGCTGTAGTACGTACGTAGTCCGACTCACCAACTTTGAGCATAAGTGAGTCATTCCTTCTGCACATCTCTTGTGGTTTTGTCTTCGTCTTCCACAATCTACATGTTAACGTTTTCAAAATGCCCTTCATTACGGGAAACAACCTTCGAGCAGCATCCCACAAGTTTTGCCGAGGATTTGGATTTGCATTGTGCTTTAGTGTGCTCACCTTCCCGTATGCAAATGCTCCTCCGTCACTATTTCACAGGGACACCGTTGCTGCAACCTGGGCTTAGCGCCCCCAAAACAACTGGGACAAAAATACAGACAATCCAAAGCTTTTTTCCTCTTGGAGTAATAGTTAGTGGATCCAGACCATTCAGCAGCCCTGACACATCTTTAGACCACCTTCTCCTAGATTTAGGCGTGAACTAAACTGCCTTCCTTCAGCACCAACTATAGACCAAACCCTTAAAGCAGAACCTGCTCCAAACCAAACTTAGTCAGAAGTCACCTTTAGACATTCACCCCTGCTGTCCACCCAAGTGGTCCTGAACCCTGAACCCCCTCACCTAACACGATCCATACGACCGTGTCCAGGCGGTGGATCAGGGTAGACCACCCCCCCAACAGCATGACAGGCTGTCTGAGGAATGCCATGTCATGGAACAGATGGAGCCCCACAGACAATAGAGCCGCATGCATTCACTAGGCCCTACATAGGAAGGCATGTGCCAAGTGCACGAGTGTCCGTGCACGTGCGTGAATGAATCACGACTCCCATCACTCTGAATACCAGCACCTTGGCACGTTTGCTCTCATGTTTCATGAATCCATGTCAGGGCACTGGGGGGAGATCACACCAAAGCTGCAGCACTTTCTCTCTTTTTTTTTTTCCCTCAACAAACCCTGAAGAAGTTTGGAAATGATGCAATGACACCCAAAAGACACAATTCACCAGCACAGAGCCTGATGCAAGAGGCAGAGATGGAGAGCATCATGGAGACAGGTGAGAATCATGAACCCACATATTCAAACTCCAGCGCTTCAGCTTCCACTCTGTTCTGGACAAAATGCAAGTAAAGGGAACCTATGAGCCAATAATTAGCCAATAGTCAGAGGGAGTCTTTACAGCTTAATCAATAGGCGATCACATTATCTCATTCCCACGCCAATAATGGCGCAATAAAGCACATTTCCCGGCCGTAGTCGATGTAATAGGCTCATAACTGGAGCTGTATTTCAAAGTTGGAGCGTTAGATCTCTAAGGCATCATTTGAGGACTCCTCTGTCAGATGCTGGACCAGAGCCCGTACCGGTACTTGTGCGTCCTGCCGGATGGAGTTGCGCTCTCTGGTTCTGGTACCAGCTGTGCGGCGCTATGGTGAAGGCTGGAGCTGCCACATTTCATTCATTTCACACATATGGGCCCGCTGGCGGCGTCCGCGTCCAAACAGCGCTGCAAATACATCCGAACAGCACCATCAGCCCCAAAACTCCCCGTCTGATCACCTCCCCGCCTCGGATCAGTCATCACCGAGACATTAGCGAGCTGCTAAACGAGCCCGGAGTGTCAGTAAAACGGGGGGGATGCCAGGTCGGACGAGAATCCCGTGAACTCACCCAAGAGAACGACAGATGATCGGCTCCCCTCTCCTCCTCCTCTCTGGAAATCCAGGACCCCGCGCACAAATAGGTGTAAGACACAGGGGCGAGCTCGGAAACCGGCGGCTTCACCAAATCTTCTTCATCCGCGCCGAGGAGCGACGTGTGGAGGCGACGTGGAGCCGCAGACCAGCCTCAGAGGGAAGGCTCACACCGTCCGGCTCATGCAACCAAACACTAATCACACAAAAAGAAAAGAAGAAGAAGAAGAAGAAGAAGCACCGACTCTTGGTTTGTGAGGTGGGATCGGTGCGTGTAGTAATCTCGGATGCTTTGGTTGTTGACTGTGCACTTACTGGGCTGCTTCCCCCGGCTCCACCCGCTAACCCAGCCTTCCCAGTGCGCCCATTGGCACAGACGGCCGGACATGCAAATCCACTCTTCCCATTGATGTTTTCCAGAAAAGAAAAAAAAAAAAAGCGCAGGGCTCCGGTTGAGTTGCTCCACTGCGCCACCGTGCGGCCGCTCCTCTGCTGTGATCGCGTGTTACTACAATCCTCCCAGCAGGAAGCTCTCTGCTTCTGCTGCTGCTGCTGCTGCTGCTGCACGCCTCATGGCTTCACATGCAGGCTGTGCTGGGTGAGGATCTGGTGTCAGGTCCAGCAGGTACACCAGAATAAATCTGTCTGCACAGTAAAGGTGGATGAACAAGGCTTTAGAAGCACTGAGGTCTCACAGTCCAGGACCCAGGAGGAGTTTATTTACCCATCAGACACCAGACTAAGAGCTTCAGTGCTTTAACTATTCTTTAACGTATTTCTCTGTATGAATGTCACAAGTGATTAAAAGCACATCAGCTGCTTGTCTTTCTGTTGTCTTGGTCTGATGACTTGTGCAATCAGCTCAGAAATACCTCAAAATACCGTTTTTCTTCACTTTTAAACACGGACTTTGCATGTTTTTACAGCCTTTTAAAGCAGAAAGCTGTTGATTGGTTGCAGACTGGACATCCATCCATCCATCCATTATCTATACACCACTTAATCCTCACTAGGATCACGGAGAAGGCAGGTTCACCTGGACAGGTAACCAGTCTATCACAGGGCTACACTTAGAGACAGACAACCAAGCACACTCACATTCACACCTACGGACAATTTACAATCACCAACTAACCTCAACATGTTTCTGGACTGTGGGAGGAAGATGGAGAACCTGGAGAGAACCCACGCTGCACGAGGAGAACATGGAGACTCCACGCAGGTGTCCTCACTGGGATGCAAACCGGCGACCTTCTAGCTGCGAGGCAACAGTGCTAACCACCGAGCCACCTCGCAGCCCTGCAGACTGGACACAACCAACAAATGGGAGCTCATCATTTCTATTTCAGCTTTGTTACACAACTCCAGTATGTTTGAGGACAGATTGTAGGATCTTAAGGCCCATCGCCGCCCCTTTTCCAGTTATATTTCTGGCCTTGTAGTACCAGTACACACTCTGAGACCCTCGAGCAGAGGCCTTTTGTCTGCTCTTGGGGCAAAACTGAACAATATCAAATATAAAAGTACTAGTATAGCCCCTTCAAGTGATAATAAATTGCATTTTTTTGCTAATATTACGATTTTACTGAGCATTTTTACTGCAGCAGTTTGTCAATGTGGGCCTAATTTTAGCTGTTTGATGTAGGCTCACCATGTAGGGACGTATCTGTCAGATATAAGTGTAGATTTCAGCTGGAACTCAATAAATACGTCCCTCTTAGTCTCACATAGGAGTCAATATTTAAAACATGTGCATTTATCCAGCGGCAGGGCCTTTGTCTTCAGAATATCAAACACATATGTGGGGTCTGCTCTGCATGTGCAGGAGGTTTGAGCAAAATGCTGAAACACACATGAGCTGCTCAAGTCCAGGGGCTTGTTGATTTATAGGCGCCACATGGGTTAGACAAACAAAAAAACACCAAATCTACAGATAAATATTAGTAAGAGAGCCTTACCGCCTTATTTCCATTATATTTGAATTTTCACCTGTTGCCTGAAATGAGTTTTTCTGTACGTAAAGACGCCATAAATCAATGCAAACACAGGCATAAACTGGCACATTCTAATTTAACCAGAATGCAGGAGTCTTTCTGTGCTCCCCCTCAGTGTTCAAATTAAATGTGCTGCCAGATAAATAGAGGAAAACGAGGCTGCCAACTATCCCTTCATGCCCACAGTGTCCAGAGGAGATTCTAACTGTAGCATCAGATTATTTCTCATTCAACAGCACTCGATCCTAATATTTTTCTCTGTACAAACAAAATAAACACACTGAAACCTCCACTCAGAATGCATCTCTGTGTGTGCACCATGCTTTTAGGCTCATAAATGACCTGAGTTCTGGTAGAAATCAACCAACACCAGTCCAGTCCGAGCTCCAATGAAAAGTCTGAGAGTCAAACCAAAAAGAGCCGATTCTGCTCCAACAAACCAAAGCCAGCTGCTTCATACACGCAGAGAGAGAAACGCTCCAACTTTCCGTTGCGTAAAACTACAAGAGAAGAATGTGCTTTTTCTTCTCTCAACATGTGCTGCAGTCATTAACTGTGGCCGATTCCCAAAACTCAGAAAAATAAACTGTGATTTTGATGTAGTGCACCGAGAGCCAACCTCGCTGCAGGAACAGCTCAGCAGCTGTACTGTACAGGATGTAACCGAGCTGAACGGAGGGACCCGCTAACAGCCAGCGGGCTGCTAATGGAGATACAGTAAAAAGGGCGTAGCCTTCTCCATCAGGTTTTTATGGCAGCAGTGAAAGCCTCACACCTCGGCTCCCATCATCTTGCGAGCCGCTTGCAGACGGGGTCTAAAGTGCTCTAATGGCTTGATTGGAGACAAAATAGACATCAGTGCCTTGAAACAAAAATAGTCCCTGAAAACACAGACCCATCGATGCCACCATTAGCTCCAGTATTGCATTATTTCAGCCCATCTGCTATCATTACACCCAACTGTCAATACAAGAACATTGCAGGACAACAGTGAGGTCAAACATGGCCTCCAGTCAGTGACATTTCCCAAACAGGTCTAAAACTGAAATGGAAAGATCGATACAGAGTGGAAGGAGTCCTCGGCTTGTAGCCTCTTGATACCTGCCAGTAAAGTTCAATTTGTGATTCACACACAGACACATAAATCTTGTATGTTTTTTTTTTATTATTTCATTAAAAAAAACATGCACAGCACACTGCCACTTAGAACACAGCACACATCTCTGTAATAAAGAAGTGCTAAAGCCTTAAAAATGTCTGACAGTGTTCACATTATGGAGTTTTATGTCAAGTACACTTTATAATGCAAGGCCATTACTCAGCAGGGTTCCATTAGACTGTCTTCTCTAATTCCTTTGATAATCTGCTCATCTAGTCGGGCAGCCATCACATTTAGGTGAAAGCTTTATTCACCAACTCATCAGGCAGCACACAAAGTCCTCCTAACAAAGGAGAGCACTTGGCAGCATCAGCTATTCAACGCGGGGCTTATTATCTGCCCTGAAGACACAAGATACTCGTTCTCTTAGAAATATGGCGGACATCGCTCTCAAAGGGAGTGGAAGTGGGGATGGATTCATTTTAGCCACGGCAGCGCTGAAAATATACATCTTGCCTTTTTAAAAAGCTGTAGCCTTGCATTGTTCGTCTGCTGTGATGGAGAGAATCAAACATTATTATTTAATCAGTCATGGAGCCTTCTGGGCTCCACCGTATATATATAAATATTTATGACACCATCATTTTCATTCAAATTCCGTTCAGTGTTAATATAATGTATGACTTGTCTGTACCTGACCTGAGTCACACCTCAGTGAGACACTAAAACATCCCAAAATCATTCCCTCACACTGAAGTAAAGTAGAGAAAGTCACATGGTCCTCATTAGAGCGCATTGACAGCAGCAGGTTACCAACAGACGTCATGTCGAGCCTCAGGTACGTCCGATGACGTGTCCCCACCTCTGGATTCAAGACTAAATGTTTCTGTCCTTGTACTCGGGAGCCAACTCTGAAACAGTTCTTGGCATATTCAGCCAGCGACCTTGCCTTTGAGCCTCTAAGCGCTCGCCTGCGCCGCCTGCCTCCTCTGGTTGTAGGCGTTGTAAATGTCCAGGAACATGTCCTTGCAGGCTATACGCGCCTTCAGCTTGGAGCAGATGAGGAAGGAGCCGGCCATCTTGCGGTGGAGGGAGTACGACTCCTCGGGCGGAGGGGTGAGGCGGTGGCGCAGCATGACGGGGATGAGGTTCTGGATGCGCTGGGTGGTGCTCTGGGTGCCGAAGTCGAAGGGCTCCGCAGATGCAAAGGCTTCACCGAGGATCATCACCGCCTCCACGTGGGCTTCCTGGTAGGCCTGGTGGGGAGCAGGGAGAGGCAGCGCAGTGAAAAACCTTCTGAGCGCATGAATAAGTGAACTAAGATTTCAACACCAATAGCTGTAAAATAAAACTCTGCACTGCGAGCCTAAACAACACAAGTTGCATCTCTGAGTGTGTACACTTGGAGGCAGCCTGAGGTAATGTGCATATCTTGCGTTGCACTTCATTCTGTATAGACTATTCCATGACATCTGTACACAAGTTAATGTCTGTGTGCAACCTTTGTGAAACACCAGAGGTCAATAGAACACCAGACCACAACAAACGGACACGTCAGTCACACCTCCATCGTGGAAACAGACACACAAAGAAACTGAAGAGCCTCAGAACAGCAGCAGAGACTCACACTGAATTTAGAATAAACTGCATTTGTTACACATGAATAGATGTGAATCCACCTATCTGAGTGTCTTCCTTGATTCCAAGTCACACCTTCTTTAATAATGAAGTGAGGACAACAATTTCACACAAGGACAAAAAAAACAAACAAACACTGAACCACCCACAACAGCTCTCACTTCAAAAAGACAACTGTTTTCATTTAGAAAATAAAGACTGTATGTATTGGCTTTTACAGTTAGCTTTAGCATCAAAGCTCCTTCGCCTGAATCGTTTTGTCCGCCCGGTTTTATAGAAATCCACTCATGAATACAAACAGGACTGAAAGTGTGACATCTTTAGCAAACACATACATAATTGGGGTAATAGAAGAAGAAACGAGTCGCAACATGCAGAAGGAACACAAATAAATGCAGAAGACAGAAAAGACAAGGGAGGATAAACCACATCAAAAATAAATGAGCACAGTGACTAAAATACCCTACCTTGGTCTCGAAGCCTGTGAGGAATTTCAAGTCTTTTGATTTGGACAGAACTGTGGCTCGATCTCCCCTGGAAGCTGCATAAACCACCTAAACACAGAACACACACACGCATGTACGTGCATGTGAGCGTGTTTCTCCACAAGTGTTGCAAAATTTAGCCAAAGACTTTTAATTATTGACAGAAACCTCGTTGCATAAATCATGCCGTGAGGCTCGCTGGTGGATGCTTTATCATTTTTGATTCGTCATACCTGTACATAATCGTCTGTGAATGATTCCGGGTAGCCTCTGCACGCGCCAAAGTCCAGCAAAATAACCTACAACATGATCAGAGTGCTATGAATCTGCTGCATGTGAGGATTTCTTTTATTAAAAGTCAATCATATGACGCGTTTCTTGGTTTAGACAAATTCTTTACAACTTCAAATCCGGATTCTCCTAACCTTGTTGGTGTCGGAGTTGTAGAAGAAGTTGGCCCAGTTCGGATCCGTCTGCATGAACCTGAACTCAAAGAGCTCTCGGAGACACAGCTGGAGGATGTTGAAACAGATCTGGAGCGGAGAGCAGAGACTTGTGTTTACAGCCATGTTGTTATCCGTCCATGTTACACTTTCATGCTATTATATCCTTTCACCTTTGGAGTTATGTCTCAGCGTATATCCTATTTCACACATGTTACTCTCCTCAGTGAGGCTGTCTCATGGTAACACTGCCGCACACTCACCGTGTCTAAAGACGTTGCATCGCTGTACGTCACAAGTGCAAATCTCAACACATATTTTCACAGTGACGCAGTGTAATTTTCACTGCTGCAGTCATTTTCACACTGTGTTTAGGGCCTGCTGAATAATCTACTAGCAAGTAAACTTGTTTTTATGAGTGTTATATGCATCAGTCATGCACTTGTCGTATTATGGCACACAGTGCGTGACAAGGTACAATTACAATGATTTCATTTATGCTGCTGATCACCAACAGGAGGCGAATATAATATAATATTTTAGAAATAGTGGAGGAAGAGATGAAACAAAATCCTATAACAGTCCCTAACACAAGCCCAGTATGGGAGCACAGCCATCTGATCTGCCCCTTATACTTGTCAGAGGGTTTCAGCTCTAATTGGTTCGCACAATTAGAGTTCCATACTGTCATGAACCTCTAATTGGAGATATTCCTGCCAGATATTGTCCTGTGTATAATTTCCAGCCCTTCTGTGAAAGTTGATGACCTTTACTTCACTTTGCATAACAGCAGTTATTCCTCCGTGGTTTCCTGATGTGCTGCAGCTTCGGCGAAGGGAAAACCCAGCCGAGCACCATCACCACCACAATAACATCACCACGTCAGGAACATTCTGAGACATTCCTGCAGAGTTCAAACAGGAGCGCCCAGAGAGTTCACCGATTTCCCTCATTCTGTCTCCACTCACGCGTCAATACATAAAAAATCCATGACAAATGGGATCCATGTGGCTGTTGAATCAAAGCATACCTGGTTTCTTGTCTCCTGGTCCAGGTCTACACAGCGGTCCAGAGGGACTCCGTGCACCAGCTCCATGGCCAGCACTCTGGATCCTGACAGCTCATCAATCACCTCAGGGACTTGGAAATACTCGTCTCCCTCCACCAGCGACCTGGAGGCCCGACACAAATGGTGCGAGAAAAAAAGCAAGCAGCAGAAAAGACAACAACAACTTTACTACTTGTATATTTGCATAATTGAAATATGTTAAATCAGTAACAAAACATGCACATAAAGGCAGTTAAACGCGACTAGATACTCACATACCGTTGTCGTTTATGAGAACAAACTAGATAGAATACCCAGAAAAGCTAAGCCACGTATGCTGAATGCATTTTTTCCCCATATTAGTCCGACTATGACACTTGGTTTCTGCAGTGGTGTACTGGACATTTCCAAAATATTCTAATGAATACAAATTAGTTTTAAAAAGAAATAGTACAAAGAACAGAGCATTTACATATCAAAGTAGTCGATGAGAATTTCTATCTGAATGAAATATAGAATAAAAACATATTCGAGTATCAGGGGTCAGAGGAGGCCAACACTGCAGTAAGTGTGCAGTATACACGGCATGCAGCAGCTGTTCACTGAAACCACCACCTAATTACAGAGGAACCGTTCTGTAAGTTAAAAGGTGACTTGGTTTTTCTGTGATGTAGTTAAACGGTGTAGTGGCAAACCACTGCGCCTCGGTGGAGGAAGCCTTTCAGCTCAGTAAGTCACATAAACCTACCTGAACTTCTTGGCACACTCTGCCTCCCTCTTATAGTCACACTCCCATTCCAGCTCCCTTTGAAGAACCTCTAAACTGCTGTCGGCAAAAAGACCTGCGCAAAAAATAAAGAGTGCAAAAACTCAGCAGGGAAAAGCAAAGAAAACATATGGACCACGTCGTCTTCAAACACAACAGAAATAATTCATATCATATATGTGTGGGGATAGAAGAAACTAAAGCTGTAGGTAGGAAACACTAAAAGTCGAGGTCATTCTGTACGCTGGCAGCCAAGAGGTTGAGGAGCTGAACATCACCGCAGCTTCCTGCTCTGTCATTCCCTGTCTCCACCGTCAGCTGTCAAAATAAAGGCTTGAAACGCACAAAGTCCTGCGTGGTCACACAAACAAGACGGTATTTTTAGATGACCTGTTTTTTTCCACACTCGACTGGTTCCAGCATAGTTCCTGGAAATACTCTCTGCATCTATTCGAAGGCACTTTGATGACGATATCGACTGTTTTAATTTTAATCCTGTGTCTCTAGGAGGAGATGTCTGTGCTTATGACTCTTCTTCACTTTTAGCATTTTGTGTGGGAAACTCAGAGTACTTCACAAACAATGATTGACTGATAGATAGATCGTTAGACGGATACTTTACTCATCCTCTTTGGAGAAATTCAAGATTACACACTCACAACAAAATGTTTATTTATATTGCAAATAAGCACCATCTTTAATAATGATGCAGCCATTCTTACTGCCACACAAACAACCATCAGTTAGCGAGAGAGCCAGATTTGAGCTGCAGCTACAGCGCCACCCCCTGGTCTGAAGTGGGTAATGGTGAAAATACTGAACACAACATCGAGCAGGGGGACAGTCAAAGTAAAATACAGGGGGTCGTATGGAGTAGGGAGAATGCCAAATTACAAAAATAAATGTTACGAGCGATGTGTAATCAGATCAGATTGCTTGAGACCACAGAGTTGTGACTACAGAGAAAGAAGCAGCTGCATCAGAACCAGAGTTTTAAATATAACTCATTTAATCTGGAATCTGAAAAAAGTGCTGGCTATCAGATCTAACAATCAGTCACACTGATAATTGGTTGACTTCTAATAAAAACAACAACAATGACTGAAACTATCCAACTGTTTCAGAGTAAAAATAGTTTTGGTTTCTTTGGCTGAGTTTTGATTTGTTGTTCTCAATATGGTGATGCCACTAAGTCTGTACCATAACAAACTGCTGCAACGGTATTCAAGGCCACTTCTGATGAATTTTAATTACATAATTAAACATAACGTGCAGCATCTAGTCATGAACGTTTTTTAAGCTGAAACGATAAAATATGACAACAACCAGAATCTTTTTATACGTAACTGCATGTCTTTGTCTGCTGTCTCAATAATTATTGTCAGTTTTTCTCTGAGATGAAGTGCAAACAAAAACGAAAGCAGGTCTTGCTGTTACCTTCAGGCAGGACCACGCTCATTTTCAGCACAGACATCAGGTTGTTGATGTCACTGTGGATGCTTTCTGCCACTCCGGGATACTGGAACGAATACGGGAACAACAGTGAAACAGAGTTTGAGAGGGAGACAGACTCGAGTATGTGAGAAAACCCTCCTACCTGGATCTTCATGGCAATTTCTCTACCATCCTTCAACACCCCATAATGCACTTGGCCAATGGATGCTGCAGCAAATGGTTTGTCCTCAAAGATGGAGAGCTTCTCTCGCCAGCCCGGCCCCAAGTCCTCCTCTAGAACTTTCTACAATATCAGAAACACGCATTAAAGAACCTTCCTTTGGGAATACCAACAATATATACTGCAAGACGACTAAGGCCACGTTTACACGTAGCCGGTATTTACAAAAACGGATCTATGTTTACAAAAATAACATTGTTCACACCAGATCGTTTAAAAAAAAATCTTCATTTACATAAACTCGCATAAACACGTCGTTAAGAGCTGCCAGACCTACAAGGGGCAGTGTAACGAGAAGCATAAAGCCATGCTGGCCAATCAGAAAATCAGAATCCTGGAAAAAAACGCAACAACGAATGGCACCAATTACTTCCTGTTACTTCAATGATAACGGGCACGAGGGCCGTTCGTTTGGACTGACAGAGAAGTGTTTGCACAAACATAAAAACCAGCACCGCTTTAACAGCATCCATTTCTGTCACAGCAGCCAAACTGTAAACGTGGTCGCACACATATGACGCTGATGACATTTTTGTCGCCTACTGTGTCGTCAAACTCCGTCTCCTCCCGTCTACGTGCAAACGTAAAGATGGTGACTTGCAGCTTTCTTTACACGTAAACCAAAGGCCCAGACGCACTGAGATATCACAGCTTTTGCTACGCGTAAACGGGACCTAAATGTCAGGAACAGCTCGTGCTTACACTCATCTGCCATGCGGGCATGAAGTCTGCGCTCTGTCGGACCCTTTCAAAGATCTTCTGCAGCTGGGGGTTGATAAAGGAGTTGTCTGAAAAGAAAAAAAAAATGGAGTATTCAGAAAAGTATTTCCCACTGCCTTGGAACCATCTGAAGACATCTGAACCGCTGTAGCAACGTGTACCTTGTATGCTGAGCATCTGGCCTATCTTCAGTGCAGCTCCACGAACTTTACACAACGTGCTGACTATTCTCTCAGCGTTGGCCTCTGACAAGAAAGGAGAGTCTAGCAGGGCGCTCATTTCTGTAACACACACACACACACAGAAGCAGCATTAGCAGTGATATTAGGCGCAACATATTAGAGGTACAGCAGCACGACACGAGTAATTTATCTTAGCAATTACTTTCGAACTGCTGCATGTAAATAACTGAGCCCTGGACCCAAACTGGGCCAATTGTAGGCAGCAGAGCATAAAAACTGGGGCAGTGGTACACCATTAAACACTGTTCATTTAACACATATTAAAGCCTCTGTTTAAATTCTTGTTAGCATGTTGGATTTAAAGCCCGTCCAGAGGCTGGCAGGTGCCGACACATTAGAAACTTCTCAGGGTTGACAAGCCGTCCATCTGTCAGCTGGATCTGCCAAGTGCGCTGGACCAAAGGCTGGATGCAAAGGGAACGGAGAACATCTTTACCTCCTTTATGTTTGCCTCCCATCGACTGCTTTGCCACTTCTGCGATGGCACCGAGCCCCAGTCCGACCGCCAGTCCTGCAGCAGGGAGACAAAGCCACGAGCAGTTTTAAATTTAGGGCCACTTAACAGATGCTCGAGGAAACCGCTGATGTGCCACAGATGCTGTTGCTATTTGAAGCCTGAAATCACAAATCAAAGTCTGGTATCTTTCGCTAAACGTTTAAGTGTTTTTACCTTCTGGCACTTGAAAGGCAAGTTTGAAAAGCTCCTCAGAGATGTTGAGAAAGTGCAACAGCTTTTCACAGCCCTCAATCAGTCAGTAATGACAATATACAGTACATACATTTAAAACACACAGCAAGGATATTTAGAGTACAGTAAAGATGTGTTTTAACATACTTGCTGACACGTGTACATTTTCTGCCTTGTAAGTGCAGATCTTTATACCATTATGCTTAGTATTGATGCTGATAATCCTGGAACAATTACAACAAAAAGATAATTACTAGCAAAGCTGAGCATAAAGCCTACAACTAAAGATGTTCCTACATTTGTTTCATAGGGTTGTGATTTAGCTTCTAATATTTTAATGTATGGTATTGTTTCTACGATATGCATGTTTATGCTGCTGACCAGACGCAATACTGCTAATCACAAAACTATTTAGTGAATAAATAACCACCATCGTAGTCCTGACATCCCAGAGTTACCTCACCAACTCCAACAGCTGCTTTGTAGTGCAGACACCTGGTCTGCCAAAACTACTGCGGTTGTTAAAAAGGCTCAACAACGACTGGACTTCCTGCGAGTGTAATAAACAGTGTAATAAACTCTGCTCGTGGCCTTTAACGGCTCCTCCACTGAGCTCAGACCGTCTCTCGGGGAAGCACACCGGTTGCTCTGCAGCAGACAGGAGGGTTCTTCAGAGGATTATCACAAAGAGCAACAGCGACTGCCCTCTGCCCTCCCTGGGAGACGTGTCCAGCTCCAGCTACCTCAGCAGAGCCACAATTATTCTGAAGGACTCTGCACATCCTGGACACCACCTGTTTGAACTGCTGCCCTCTGGCAGGCACTGCGGGACCAATAAACTCAGGCCACCAGACGGGTTCTTCCCCAAGGCCAGTCATTCGCTGGATTCCAGTGAATGACTCCTTGCACACAATCTTTTAACTTTGTGCAACATTTCTGTTTATTTAAAGTGTAATAATTGCAGTGCAGCAAGCGACATTCAACCTGGTGCAAAACTATACCAACTCTAATGGTAGATTTTAATGTTTATTATTTCCGCTTTTCTTCAGGGTGCTTTTTGTGTGCGTCTCTAAATGCACCAATCAGGAGCGGCACTCTTTTTTTGCATTCTGCAGAATACAATGACAATAAAGGCTTTCTATTCTAATTAGTCTTCTCTGTGCTTTGTACTTCCAACTGTAAACGTGTGTTTCATAAGTTTGTCAGACTTTTTGCCTGAAGCCATGTGGCAACCAAGAGAGGAATCGAAAGGCTTTCATCTTTAAATCTGGCGTACGAACAATGTGAAAAAAACATAGAAACAAAAACATATTCCTCTTACCCCCAAAATTAACCAGTCGGCTGATTCTTGTTGCAGGAACCTTCCTCTCTTTGGCGCGTTCACTCAGCTGAGGGAAGTCAAGCAAATGAAGAAAAGCAATTAGTATGTGTAATAAATAATTCTGCTTTATTAATTGGAGATCATTTCTCTCCAAGCAGTTCACACCACCTGCCTGAGATCCAACTACTGAATGTACAGATTAGAATTTTCTGTATTGCTGCATAAATATGACCTAAAACATCAGCAAACAGCCCCACTATTCCTAAAAGCAGACACGGAGACCACCATTAAACATACTGAGAAAAATGATGCAATGTAAACATCTGTGAGTGATGAGTGAGTTAGGTCCAGTCAGTCAGGTTTGACTGGACCTAAAGAACGATAATCCACCAAAGGCTGAGCTTCACAACACACATTTGTGCAACAAGGCACAGAAAAAGGAGACGTCTTAGGACCCAAGAAAAGAGATGCTGATGCTAATTAAGCTGGAAAGTGTTCCCAAACCAGCTCTAGAGCCATTAGACTCCACCAATCCACAGCCAGACAGACAGAAGGTGTAATTTAGGAAAATTGAAGAGCACTGCTGCTCTCTCTGGAGGGGTCGACCAACAAAGATCACTCCAAGAGCACGGTGGTAATAGTCCGTCAGTCGTTTTTGGAAATGTTTTGTTGGTGATTAAGCACCAAAATAGAACTTTTTGGTTTAAACGAGAAGCATCATCCTAAAGTAAAACACTGCATTCCAGCATAACAGTTTCATCCCATCATCAGTGTCATGGTTTAGGCCTGCTTTGATGCATCTGGCCCAGGACAGCTTGGGACGAGGATATTCTGAACAATACCAGTGAACACAAAAGGCAAAAGTTGTAAAACCTGTCCGAGAACTGAAATTCAAGAGACAGTGGGTCAAGACAATAACCCTGAGCTGTTTACCTAAGAAACGTTCAGTAGGACTAAAATCAGTGAAGTGACCGAGACAAAGTCCTGATCGTAACCCATAAAGAAATGCTGAGGAACAAGCTGAAGTTAGGGGTTTATGTGAGGAAACCCACCAACATCTCAGAGCTGAAGATGTTCTGTAGAGAAGAATGATCTAAAATTCCTACACATTGATGTGCAGGACTAATTAAAGGCCACACTTATTGTTTAGTTGCAGCTACTGGCCACAAAAGACACTGAAAACAGAGCTTCACATACTGTTACTACTCGCATACATGCACTACTGAATCAGTTTCCTTAATATATAGGTTATCAAGTAGAATATTGTTGTTTGATTAGTTTGATGGGGTTCTCTTTATCTGCTTTTAGGACTTTGTGTGAAAATTGGATGATGTTTTAGGTCATATTTATGCAGAAGTATAGAATACGTGGAAGGATTTATAAACGTTTAAACACCACTGTATGTGATAATGTCAGTAAAAGAGCAAAAATGCATCCGTCACACAAAGAACAACACCACTGTCTGGCTGACTCATTTACACCGTTTTAGATGAACTCCAATGGTCAGTAGGGGTCTGTGTATACTTTATGTCTCCTTTTATGTGAAATTTTCACTCAAACCATTTAATATGCACACTGCTTGTACTCAAAATATGCAGTATATGCGTGAAGACTCTTTACTATAATTAGTTTTGTAGATTCAATCCTCCAACCAACCTTCTGTTTAACAGGTTTAGTCAGGGCCTGCTTTGCCTCTCTGGCTTTCTTGATGTCCTCTGGCGTGAGTCTGGCCACCACCGAGTTGTGGGCAGACCTGGTCTGGTAGTAGTGGTACCGGTGGAGGCTGGGGGCGGTGTGGAGGAAGCGAGCGCTCTGTCCTGGCCAGCCTGCCCCTCCTGCTGTCCCTGGATTAGGATGTGCTCCTGACAAAGAGAGAGGCAACGTTTTACTGAACCTGAAATGTATGAACTCTGAAGTCATGATTCTTTTTAAAACACACATATGGCACCGCTTTTCTGCAAATTAATCAGGAAGAACATGCTGACCGATCTGTAGTGTCAATCACAGACAGCGTGTTCAGTTTGAGCTGGACGGCTCTTGGTTAGTTTGGTGTTTCGTACCACCTGGGTCAAATTCTTGCTGGCTTGTCAAGCTGGCAGGCTAACTAGCTGTGGGGGGGTGGGAGATGGAAGAAAATCTCTTCATATCTTAACAGCTATTATTTTTAACCTCCAGGTTTATAACAACCAGAAAACACAATAAAATAAAAGGATTTTCATCATGTGGGACCTTTACCATCTAATCGTACTCTGTGACTGTGGCGATGACAGAAAAAAACTACTGGACTGTATTTAATAAAAATGGAAGACTGGCGCTTTACTTTTACACTCTCTCGTTACAACAGAAAGTGTTCAAGCACTTGAATGTAAAAAAGGTCAAATATTGGCTAAAAACAGAATTCAAAGTACTTGATGGTAAAAAATTATACCAAAAGACTCTTTCACCGTGTTTACACACAATGTTCTCTTGCAGAACCTAAAAATACTCTAATGACAAACGGGTTCTTTGAAAAGTGTACGTGTCAAACTTAAAGCTGTGGTAGGCAGTATTTTCTGGTATCATAAGCTTTTAGCATAATGCACTTCAGGTGGTCTGATGGGAAACCAGATTTATGAACCTCTTCTTGACATAGTTTTTTGGCTCTGGTGGAGGAGGGGTGTTTAGGAGAGAACTGCAAGAAGAGGCCTGTTAATTCACCTTTTCCATGTTTTTGCTCACGACAGCTTTAATGACCTTCATTGACCTGTTTGTCACGTCCACAAGCGTGACTGGACTACCTGTGTGCATCTGTGATGAAGGTCCAGCTTCTCCCTGGCTTTGCTCCGCTCCATCAGAGGAGAACTCAGACGCCACACTCCATTTGGCTACTTCATCAGGGTCCATAGTCTCCCAGCCCTCCGCATCGGGAAACACATCCTCCTTTATTGACTGCTGCTTCACAGACACACACAGCAGAGTTGGATGAGTCTATTTGTTCAGTAATTACTGTTTGTGTGTATAACCTGGTATCCTGGTATGTACTACATATGTTTTTTTCATTTATCACATAAACTTACCTGACCAGTGCCGCCCATAAAGGTGCCCACCAGACCTTCCACCACATCTTGAGCAACTTTGACTCCTGCTCCCAGGGTGGAGTTGCAGGCCATTAATCGGAGCTGCTCCCCCTGGGTGGTGACCAGGGCAGAGCCTACTTTACCAGCCCCCCGCAGAACCTGAAGGACTTCTGACAGCATCACTAAACACAGAGAGGGGGAAGGGAGTCGAGTGTCAGGTGTCAGGTGTAAGAAGGTGTTCAGGGCAGAACAGTATATTGTTTGGACACTGCAATGTGAAGCAAGAACATTAACTGAAACACAACTCTTTTGTCGCTTGACACGTAAACAAAACTCATACAGTTTGAACTTTCTGTTACTAAATTGCACGTTGAATATAATTTTCTCTGGTTCAAGGGTTCTTAAATGAACTTTTTAAAAAGCAAACACCTTGGTTCACAAAATGTGGAGTTTTCTAACATGCAGGCCCCACATGTGCAAAAGAAGATTTGGTTTAAAAAAAAGTCTGTTGATTTTATTCAGTTTCAGATTCAGAAAACTTTATTTGTCCCCAGGGGGCAATTAAAAAGGCACGAAGAGCAGGCAGTGCAACAATGACATGAGAAATTTAGTAGGGGGGGGGATAAATCAAGATAAATAACATAAATAAAACAAATAGGGTTAAGTATATTGTAATTGTGGCGACTACACAAAGCAACATGACTTGTCGACAATTTAAATCAGCGCCAGAAGATCTGTATGACAAGAAAGCAATTAATATTTCTGATGCCTTTGCCAGTATTATGCCATATGAGAAACGTCCTAAACAGCTTTGTACAAGCTATTTTTAATTATCTATGCAGACTTAATCACTTTAGTATGATTTATTCTTCTTAGATAGAGTTATAGAAAATTATTTTTCATATACATATCATGGAAAAACAAACATGGCTCTGACGGTTCTTCCAGCCCTAGGAGGTATGAATGACAATAAACGAAACTGTCAGAAGAACACACAGCACCACACTCTCTAATCAAAATGAACTCATGTTTACAGCTCAATATATCGTTTAATTTACTCGTAATGTCACAGATCAATGAAAAGTCTCTTGGGACAAACATCCATGATGGTCTTCCTCCTGTTACGTGGTTTAACCTTGAATGTATGTCGCTTTCCATGTTTCATAGCATGTGACGCTAACACGTGTAGCCTTGTAGCGGTGAGCCACAGCTCCTGCAGGTATACATTCACATGAAAAGTCCGATATTAAAGACAGCAATGGTTCAATACTCTCAGGGGCTTTACCTAGCTTATTAGTTAGCTCTGTTATGTAGTTTAACGACGTTAGCTGCCGAACGTCGCTTCAAATAACAAGCTCGCTACACCCACATATATGAACACAGGGTTCAAACCTTCACACGAAAACGCACTTTACTGAATGAGACATTTTGCTGTTAATAAACTAAACAACTCACTTTTGGTGTAACTTCGTTATCCTGATTTTTCTCGGTGACTCTCCTCCTCATCCAACGCTGCCCAGCTGGATGTTTTGCAACCACCGGAAGTTTAAATTTGACTGACGTGAGCGAGAACCAATCCCAGTAATATGTAGGTGGAACCCAGATGTCAAAGGAGGAGGGCCGTGTTTCTTTAACCAATAGCAGTGCAGGACATCAGATGATGGACGTGTGATTCGGGACAAGTTGTCCAATCACCGTCTGCAAAAGGCGGAGCTACACTGGAACAGTGTCCAATGAGATTTTAAAGGGATGTCATCGTTGTGAGGGATGCCTACAAGCACGTGTAGCAAGGTACAGTTGCGGAACTGAAAATGGGAGGTACTGAATGGGTTTGTTTATTATGTTTCTGTCGCAACTCAGCTGCAGTTCAGAGGTTTTGTTTAAAATCTTTTTTTGTCTACATGAATGATTATTATCAGCAAACTGTGTAAATCATGCCACAAATGTATGTATGTAAAGAAAAAGAAATGCAAAGAAAAATGTATGAATATGTATTTTAACAAAGCACCAGCTGTAATAAATGATGGTGTATTGAGCAAGTGAAGCTGATAACATATTTATTAACCTGACATTGAGAGTTACTCAGGGTCAAAGCCACCTCAGACTAGAAGAAGAATAGAATAGAAAAATACTTTATTTATCCCAGTCTGGGAAATTACTGTGGTACAGCAGCAGCAAGAGAAAAACACCAATCACAACAGAAAAAGAGCTAAAGTTAAATGCTATTTAAAAAATTAAAAATAAAAATAAGTGAATAAAATAAAATAAAAACAACTGTACAAAATGTGCAAAACTGAAAAAACAGAGCAAAGACAAAGCAGCCCACTAGAGCGCTATGCATGTACTCATAGGACATTCATTCTGGTTACCATGCATAACCATTGCTGGAGGGTTGCTGTTCCTATATAGATGCATTTTCTCAGCACAACCACCACCTAATTAGTCACATACAAACAAGTAGTTCTGACCAACTAGACCACATGGTAGCAACTGAAAAAACCATATTATTGTCCTTAAAAAGTGTTTAGACCATATAAAAGTATGTTCTTACGGAATCCGTAGACGTTTTTATTAACTGAAGCTCTTGTACAGACTCTTAAAGACTGCAGGGATGAAACCTACTTGGAAACAAGTGTTATAAACAGCTGAACAATGCAAGACTGACCCAGAACCTGTAGCCAACAAAAAGAAACAAAAGTCTGAATGGACACAGTGGGGTGTCTCAACGAGGTGTAGTGATATACTGAGCAGAACAAGGACACTTTTGAGATAAGAGTCTGAAACTGGATTTGTTTTTACTTGTTGAAGATGTCTCCCCTCCCCAGTTTTAACTGACAAGTTGGGGCCTCTAGTTTGTGGGTTTATTTGTGGGTTATTACTCATACAGAACTCACATAGAAGAATGTTCACAGACTCAAGACGCCATGAATCAAGGTGTGAATGGTGGTGAAACTGCCTGGAGAGGGATGTCAGAGCTGCGTTGTATGTGGTTGATAGGTGGTGCTGTACATCACCTTCATAGTCCAGAGATGGTTGTTGTAGTCGTTCTTTCACTCCTCTCTCAAACCATCCTTCTTCTCTGTCCAGAATGTAAACATTGCTGTCCTCAAAGGACCTCCAGGTGGCCTGAAATAAATACTTGCAAATCCCCACCAGTCACTTAGTCACCAGGATGGGAGGGAAAAGCCTTCAAGAACCAAAAAGTAGACCAGTTTCTTTTAACTGAATCACCTGATGTGATGAACGTGTCCTGTTTGACTCAGAATCTACACAGACATTTTATATAAGCTAGATTTGTTTGTCTCAAAATACGCTTAATTGATTGCTAAAGTTAAAATACAAATAGTGTTTGCCTGTGAGACCAGTAAAAAGTGCTTGGAAATAACTTGCTAATAAGGTGCTATGATTGTAGCAAAGACTGATTCCAGAATAATTAATTGTGATTGTTTCCAAGCTGTGAGATTCACTCACCAGAATGTACATAACTGAGTGATAAAACTCCACTATTGTTAAACAAAGCCTAATCACCGCACAATAACATCACAAAGGCTGTTGATAGTAATGAACTGTGAATAATGAATGATTATTTGTGGTTATATTCCACAATCTCTTCCATTGTATTGCAAGAATAATTGCTTAATTAGAGACCCCATTCCACCATTTTTAAAACATTAACTATAGATTTACAATTCAATTGCAATCCATCCATTCATTATTTATACACCACTTTATCCTCTGTAGGGTCTTGGGGGGCTGGAGGCCTTTCCCAGCTGACTTCGGGTGAAGGCAGGGTTCATCTGGACAGGTCATGATTTAATTGAATTGTTGCCCAGCCCATAATGGTATATTTTAATGGAAATAGTCTTTGAACTGAAAATAGAGCAGATTTTATTTCAGTCATGTAGTTGTCCTTTGCCCCGTGATGATCTGTTATACTTCACCCATCTTTTATTTTACATCTACGTCTCTGTTCCCTAATCCATATGACTGTATGAGTCTATTTTCCCAAATAATGCCTGATCATCTTTATAGATCACATAATAGCAACTAAAAACTCAAATTACATAACCCCCCCACAGCAGAAAGCACACAAACTACCACCAGTGCTCCACCCAGAAACTTAAATCACATCGCATCAGATCAACAGGTGAATCAACAGCCACTCCTGTTACCCGAGGCCTGTAGCAATAAAAAATCACCTGACAGGTTGTCAACTCACCTGGACATTATTAAAAACAAGACAATGTAAAATAAATAATAAAACTAAACAGCAACCAGCAGTTGGCCTTCCTGCTGCCGCTACTACTTCTGGACTGACACTGTGCTCCTCTGAGCTTTAGCTTTTTTTCCAGGCTGTTTGAAATGCAAACCTGCCAGACATCCTCCTGACCACCGTGTGACACACGCTGCGTTTCTCCACCACCGTCTATCTGAAGGCTAAATTTAATGTGTAGGAAGATAAATGCAGTGTAAAGGTATGAGTGAATAACAGCTGACGTTAGAAGATCCCCGTGTGTTTAATTTACTTAAAAGCACCTACAGCTTTTTGAAAGATGAAATAAAACTTTAATGATCCCTGTTGGCAAACTGGGTCATTGCAGCACGAAAGGGGGTAGCGTGAAAACTGAACGTAAAATTGAAAATAACAGAGTAAACTAGGTACAGTATTGTGAATTTCAGCCGCAAAAGAGAATTAGGGATATTAGGAAGTGTCATAATATCAAAAAGACGTGTACAGTGAAGAAAAAAATGAAGCATGTGATGAAAATACGACAAAATATTAATATCATGTGGCCAAAAATATGGGAGATGTTGATGGAAAAACTTTAAGTCACAAATACACACACTATCTACTTTATTGTACGTCTGATGAAATCTGCTGCAATCCAATAAGACTGCTCCATCATAAATTCTACTGTTATGAGACGGTCATAATTGTAGTTGCAGTCATAAAGGTGATCATTTTACTTTCTATTTATTTTTAGGGTTGCAGTGTGTGTTGAGTGTGTACTGCATTATATTTACACTACATCAACATACATGAACGAGGTAATAATAGAAACACTCTCATGTGTAATGCAGTCCAGGATGCCACACTATGACCTCAGTAAATAGACATACAGTAGAAATTTGACAGTGTCAGCGAAAACTGAAAATGTTGACACTTGTTGCCAGTAGACTTTATGGCAGAGCTGTTGTGTTGGATTGTATTAGATTTCACAGGTGTATTTAGTAAAGTGGGAATTTTGGATTTAAGTTTTAAAAATATTCTTGGAGGGTTATAACTTTGGTTCTAAATTAGTCAGGTGAATTTCTATAACTATTGATACTGTAGAACCTTATATTTATATGAATTAGGCAAATCCCTGTAGCTAATAATAATGTAGGGTCTTGGCCTTAACATTTTTATTAGCTGGGTTAATCTCCATAACTAATAATACTGCAGAGTCTTAGCCTTAAAATTGATATGAATTGAGTTCATCTCCATAACTAATAACAATGTAGGGCCCTAATGTTTATTATGCCAAGGTAAAGTTGTATTTGATCTAACATTTTGTGGGGCTTTAGTTCTTATTATGTAAATGACTGAGGTAAATTCACACTGTTGGGTCTTAACCTCAGCATTTAAACTTTTTAGGTTAACATCAGATGAGTTTGGCTCCGTTTAAATGTGCACTATAAATAACGGGGAGCTGACAACATGCTGGGACTACCTGGACCTCTGAGGTGAGGGGGGGCGGCGGCTCTTCTCACCTGTCGGTGACACAGTGACCTCTGGCTGCGGGCCGCGCGCTCAGGTCCGGTGCAGGCGGTGTGGGGGAGCAGCAGGGGGAGGGAGCTGTGCAGACGCCATATATGGGCACACCACCGACTCTGCACTGCTATTGGCTGCGGGCCTTATGCAGCTGCTTGTCAACAAGATGGCCTTCCTCCTCCTGCCGTTTTGACACTGATTATTTTGGTATCCCCAAGAACATACCGTAAAAGCTTGTGTCACTTCTAAATAGATAGTGGGAGAGCGAATGCTGATAGTCCTAACAAGGCGCACAGTCAGCCCGGCTGTGTTCAGAGAAGTGACAGGCACACAAGCCTCGACAGCAGCCGCCACTAAGACAAGGTTGATAATAGAAAGTAGCTGCTGGCTAATGTCGACGTGAGCTAGCTTAGCTACGTGGACACGGATAGTTAACTCGTGTCACCTGCATTTCACCAGACAGACTGGTTTTGTTAGAGCGAAATACAGCGAGGAAACTCTTGTCATCGAGAGTCAAGAAGGTTGTCTGTGGAGATTCACACCGTTAAGGTACGTGGGCTACTAAAATACAAGGTTGAGGGTTTTTTTCTTTTATCTTAGCTTGCTAGCAAGCGCTGTGATGTTATTATGCAGGTAAGTTGTGCTATCCAGTTAGCAAGCTCGTTAGCTGACGACGGACCTGTTTACTCTCCGTAACTACTCATTAATAAACTAGATCGAGTGTTAAAGTTTCTACAAGCATAATTGGTTTGGACTACTTGATGTTAAACATTAATTGTT